AATTAATTATACAAATCGATTCAGAACTTCTGGACCACCCTTTATGCATTGCTTTAAACTATATTAATAAAAGTTTGTTTAACTTCGATTCACATATGTTTGACGATGCGCTTTGTGATTTGATCTTTTTAAAAATGACTTGCATTTGTAATGATGATAGCAAAAAAAAAAGCTTTATGATCAGTGAAAAATATTTTCAAAAAAGAAATTCTCCTATTCATTTAATTAATATATGAGAATTAGTTCTGATATCTTTGAAAATTAATTGAAATCTTCATATTAGCAATTTCTTCTTTATTTAGATTCAGATCTTGAATACAAAAAAAGAAAAAAAAAAAACAAAATACTCTACAAAATATGAAATTTTTGAACTAAACCAAACATATATTGAAATCAAATGATTTTATAATAATGAAACTTGATTGAATTCTAATGAATATTATTTGAGAGCAAAAAATTTCAAGAGAAAAAATTGCCGTTTATATAAAAAAAAGTCAAAGAGATCGTAATTCCAAATTGAACCTTGAGTAAATTGTCACTGCTCGACAGCATGAAAAATTGAATTGTTTGATCATTAAAAATACGTAGTAATGATAATTTATAGTAAGTATCCACAATTTTAATTCATGAAATAAAATAGATATTGCAAACAGTGTCAGTCTCATAAAAATTTGAATAATTGATGATAAACTTAGAAGAAAACTTCTTTGAGTAATGATTTTTTAATCGGAAATATTAACACACGTATTCTTTTGTTTCTTGTTTTAAAATCTATTGATTTTGCTATAGCCGCGTTGAGGAGAAAATCGATTTCTCTAAAAAAAAGAAAAAAGACAAATAATTGATACTATGGAAGATTCTAGAGAGTAAACAATATTAAATATAATGATCGAAGATCTGCAATAATAAAATCTCGATACAAATGGTATACAATAGTTTTCATGAAAACGAAACAATCTATCTACCAAATGAATAAAAATTTTAAGCAATTTAGTAAAAATATCAAACTTTCTTTTTCGAACATATGAAAATGAATACCTTATGAAATATTAATACAATTAACTTTATAATGATTAAAGTCTCTTGATTCTTGGAAAAGAGTCATAGTTTCGTAAATAGTGTCGAGTTGTTTTGAATCGATATGTGTGTTGAACTTTTACTGCTGAGTAATATACACTGGACTGTTTAAATTATACTAATCAGTTCTAGAGAATATATGAAACTAAAATAAAACAAAAAAAAAATTCAGTATTCATGATTGAAAAATAATAACTTACAGAAGAGAAACAGTTCCAATATAAATCGGTGGTATTTACAGTAAAATAAAAATTACAGAGTATCTCTAGTGAATATAGTAACTGGCTGCAGTTGTTTGTTTCTTGTCTGTATTCAGCTGACTGTGTGAATCAATGAATCTACGTAGTTATTTATTGATGATACATCAAAAAAAAAAAAATCACGATCGATAGAACGGATGAAAAAAGTAAAAGAACAGAAAAAAAAAGATATGCATGTGATAGTTGTCAGAGCAATGTCGATTTATTCAAAATATTTTACTACATACATGAAAATTTATCGAACAGTATGTCCACCGATTATAGGTACGAATATTTTTTTCGAAAGCTTAACGTCAAAATTCAGTAGTGGATCGGGAACACTAGTGACTTGCTAGGCTTGGATTGTAAGTCAATCTAATTTAAGAGAAAGAAAACAAATTTACTTTCGTATATTTTTACTGAAAATTTTCTAAAATTATTTGTTAGTCAGATAATACTGAGGAAGTAAACCAGATTAAACTCACTCCTGTAGGATCCAATGAAAATCAATAGTATGAAAGTATCTACCCTACATAGATTAATATGAACAACGTCGTCCACAAGTAAATATAAAATTTATTAAATAAAATTTTTTTAAATTTAGATTAACGGAAAAAAGTGGGCTAAAATTAAGAGTAAACTGTAGAAAAATAGTGTCTTTACGGCTGTAAAAAATACTATCCGTATACAGCTACTGTAATGCTCGTGTTAAAACGGGGTAATACCTCCCGTTAAGGTGCTGTATTATCATCATAAATGACCGTAATTACACTGTATTCTTTGTTCTGGGTAGATAAGTATGCATTACATCAAACTGGTGCTTGATAAGAATATAGCTTATACTTTTTGTAGATGAAATGAAGAGCTGATTTCTTCCTTTTTTTTTGTTATTCTCTTTCATTAGTAATATAGTATATAATCGATAGCCGATTTGTACTGTATATTCTCAAGGTATTGCTTAATTTTTTTTTTAATTGTATAAATGCTTTTAGCTTATAAACAGAGTTAACATTGTAAGTGAAATCGGAATAGAGATGAAAGAACAATTTATTGACAAGATGAAAAATGTTCAGAATGTGAAATCGAGTTCAAAATTTTAGAAATGTTTACATGGATATGAACGTGATTTTCTAATTAGAAAATCAGAATGTTTCTTTTAGCCAGACTTTTTTGTTCGATACTGAGTTATCCAAGATTTGATATTTTCCTACGCTGTCGAAAAAAATTTGTATTGATTCAATCAAGACGATTTTCTTCAAATTATAAGTTTCCATTCTGAACCATCAAATGAACCCTAGAACAAATTTTCTAGAAGCAATCAATTTCCAATGAATGAGAGACGATGTTCGTAATAACTATAATTTCATTCTGTTCATTCAAATGTCATTCATATTTTCTATTTTGAGTGAAGTTAACTATTTCTATCATGAAATTAAGAATGAATGACGCGAATTCTGTTCAGTATGGTCTAGAAGCATGCAAAATTGTTGGAAAATACAATGATCAATTGTCAGCTGTGTTTGAAAACTTTGATGTTGTTATAGAAGATCATGCATTACATAATTCCACAAGATTAATTCGAGTTGATGAAGAGTCGATAAAGTAATTACAAACGAAAATAAGAGCACTATTTCATTGATGTCACTGCTATAATTGATTTTAATACGATCATTGACCATGCCAATCGATATTTGATATCTGACTTGCTTCGCTTCCAATGAAGTCACTTTAACTGGTTGACTATATTGAGAGTGTAGCTCTTCCCTTCTGTATCCCATGAATAGAAACTCACACCCACACCCACACCCCACCCACCTATATCGTTCTTCTTATAAGTTTTGAACGATTTACGAGGAAAACATGAGCGACATCTTATTTTGTTTCTTGAACCTGTACTCTACAAAATAAACTTTCCAATTTTTTGTATCTAACCCATTCTTTTGTCTATTTAAACAAAATTCTGAAGTATAATTCAAGTTATTAAAAGTATTTAAGACCTTTCATGTTTTTATTCTGACATGTGAAGAAACGAGCTAGATACGAAAAGTAAAGAGTTTTGTTTTGTAGACAATAGTTTAAAAAACTAAATAAGATATTCCTCACGTTTTTCTAGTCAACCATTCAAAACTTATGAGAAAAATACAATGTATTGAAATGGTATTCCAGTGACAGAGTTAGTCGAACAAACCGAGAATAGTTACAAAATATATCGCCAAGCTGCATGTTTATCACCCAAATTGCGAATCTGCTCTTCGGTCATGTTTTCATAGCCGTATCGTCGTCTATCTTCCATAGTACCTATTCCAAATACATCCGTTGTCATTTGATCTTTATTAATGACTGATTGCATTGTCGGACTACCGATCGATCCATACAAGCGATCACGTCGTCGATTTTCCATATGAAGACCGATTAAAATGATAGTTAGAGCAATCAAACTCAATGTACAAAAACCAAGATTGATTGCATGACCGAGAATAAAATGAGGTGCATCTTGCGATCTATATAATTGACCACTAATAACTCCACCGATAATTCCTACAGATAACATAAATGCTAGTGCAGTAGCTCGTTTTGTATGTGGACTAATATTACACGAAAGAAACGTGATACATGTAGCAACACAAGGTGAGAGCCCACCAGTCGCGAGAAAAACAGCAAAATATTTCACGCTCAAATTTTGCACCACAATTAAGATAACAAAACCCGTCATACTAATTACTAACCATAATAGAATAAACATCGAACGATGGGCATATTTGTCAGAAAAATAAGCTGTAGTCATTGTAGTGATGAATGCAAATGCGTATGGTGGTGTTGTGAGAAGTTGAGCTTGATAGGTAACGAATCCAAGACTTAGTACAATGCTTGGTGAGAAAAGAGAAAGTGAAAAGATTGGTACTGATATACCAAGTAAGCATAATGACCAAATGTAGATTTTCCAATCTGAAAATGCCGAGTAAACTTGAATCCAACTAAAATGTTCACTGGCGCCTGGTCCAGCATCAGTTCGTAGACGAACAAGTACATGATTGCATTCTTGTTCACTGAGAAACTTGGGTCGATCTGTGGGAAAATCATTAATAAGAAAGAAGGCAAGTGCTCCAACAATAACAGTGATCATTCCTTCTATATAAAAAATCCAACGCCAACCTTCTTGTTTACCTAATCCGTCCATTTTATTGATTCCATAAGCAAGAACTCCACCGAAAGCACCAGCTAGTGAAGCTCCAGAGAAAAGAATACTGACACGCCACGACAATTCACGTCTCTTGTACCAACTTGATAGATAAAAGGTAGCACCTGAAGAAAAAATTAACACATTTTTTGACTTTCAAAAATTGATCGATATCTACCTGGAAAGAGACCTGACTCAGTTGCACCTAAAAGAAGTCGACAAACTAGAAGACTTTGGTAAGAATTGACAAGTCCCATAAATGTCACAACAGTTCCCCATGCAATCATAGTAAACGGAATCCATCGACTTGGTCGACACTTTTTTAGAATTAAATTTGATGGAATTTCACAAACGGCATATGTAATAAAAAATACACTCAGACATATATTATATTCGATGCTCGAAAGCTTTAGCGATATTGTGAGACCATTCAATTTGGCTTGACCGATATTGACTCGATCGAGAAAACTGAGTAAATAAAGTAATGTCATAGTTGGGATAAGATGAAGATCCAATTTACGAAGAATTTTCTTATCATCTAATTCGTTCACTATTCCACTGTTGACTTGATTTTCAATACCCATTGGTTCTAGACCTACTAGTATGACATTTTTTTTCGTGCTATTATTAATCTTGGTTATATCATTACAGTTATTGTCTTCAAGCATTTGAGTACCTTTATTAACAGATGTTCGTCTAGAAAGAGAAGAGTAGATCAGTATCACAAGTATGAATACGAGAGACCAACTGTAAAATATCAACAGTAGAGAATGTTGGTCGACGAAATTTCGACATGGAAAATTGTTGACAGTCCATAATATTTAAAGGTCAACAATGAAAAACTCTGAACTGTATTCGAATTTCAAGGCGAATTTTCTCAATGGCGATATGGAGTAGTCTGTCGTGTCATTGATATTAGTCATGAGCAGAATCCGTTTTGAGAAAGTACTATTAACTCTAGTTTAGACTAATCTAATATCTCGAAGCGAATTATTTTGTTTGAATTTATACTAAGAGTACAAAATTATATTGAAGCACACGAAAATAAGAACAATTTTGAATTAGTCTTATCCAACTTTATGTAACTAATTCTGTATTCTATAATACTTTGTATTCATGGTAAATTTTAAAAAAACTCTGAGTAAAGCTGTATTAAATAGCATCTTTTAATTGCTAGATCTTACAGTTCAATTAGCTAAGCGATTGGTAAGTGATATATTGTACGCATGTTCTAATCTAATTTTCTTCCTTATAGTTCTATCATTTAGGCTAGCTCGGATTGCGCGAATGCTCTTCTTTTTTTATGTAAAATCAATTTTGAATGGGCATCACGGCGGCACAACATGTCTAGTCTTTTCTTAAAAAGTACTAGACATAACAAATAGAATACAAGTCGCTAATTGAACGGCCAGGACGTAAGCTGTGGACTACAAATGATTTCAGACTAGCCATGTACTAGGCAATTGAAATATTTAAATTTTCTCTTACATACTAATTGTTCTCTGCTTTCAATACTTTATCATGTCGCATTCATACACCCGATAATATTTTGGCTTCTTCACATGATCGACACTAAGAACAAAGAGAAAAAAATGAGAATAACAGAAGTATTTATTTCTCGAGTGTTTTTTTTTGACATATAGTTGGTGCCTTGTTTATTAATACAACAAAGAGAATCTGAGATTTCAGATAACGTTAATTACAAAACATGATAGGGCAATCGAATCATATTACGAATTCATTTGTTTCATTCAGTAACAAATTAAAACATATCTATTTAATCATTTGTGAATATTAGAAAATGACCTTATAGCCGGTTCCAATATATTGAAAAAGACGCAGCTGTAAATTGTTGTAAGTAGTTCCGGCGCGTATTGTTGTTAAGCAAATTTTTGAAATCGACTTTCTACGATGTCTGCAATGATGAGTTGATAAACGTTACCTCAGACTGTATAGTATTAACTGTTCTATTGGGAAAATTGGATACAGTGACTCGCTTTTCCTTTTTTTAATCTAGATACATGAGATTTTTGCAAAAGGATTTTTTCATGAGACAATCTTAGGATAATTCACAAAGAGGTATCGTTTGTCACTACCCATCTAACCACGAAATGTCAATTTTAGGGAACGTATATTCAAAGAATAACCAATAGTTAAATTTCACTACGCTGCGAGTTCAATAGTCCTTTGTTGAGGCTTCAAATTTTTGTATGATCTGTCGATTCTTGAGACATCTTTCTTTTCGAAATAGAGTCAACCCTTTTTCTAGTATAGTTTGTTTGATAGCACTTTTTAAGGTTTACAAAATTGTCGATTTTGCTAAACTCGAAAAAGAAAACAACACTAGCTACATAAGAAATACTCAAGCAGACTGTTCTTAAGATCTAATTTTGGTGAGACATATCCAATTTGAGTAAAACCTACTATGATATTTGGAATCAGAATAAAAAAGGAGTTGGACTTCCCTGAATTCGTTTTTTTCGATGATAAATTTATCTCCGGTCTCCACAGAGTTCAGTTAAGAATTGAAGTCAATGAAAAAGATGTAGCAGTTATTTAGAGATCTATCATTATGCAATTCAATAATTGTAACAACTTTTGTAGTTTCTTTAGTGTCTTGATGTCATCGTCAATATTAGTATATCCAAGTAGATTAAGCTAAAATTTAAGGGAACCGTAACCCGTCTTTTGACCGATATGACTTCGAAGATACTCAGTGTTAGAGAGTAACTTTCACAGAAACTATTTCAGAAAAATTCTTTTAGCTCTCACTATCATCATCATCATATATAAATTGTGCACAACAGCTATTTGAATGGACAAGCCATGCAAATCTATGTTCAGTTCGATTTGAAATCAGCGTCGAATACACTGGAAGCTGTTGAGCGTTACATGAAGAAAATGATTGAATGTAGCAAACATATAAAAATTGATAAGGACATCAGTTACACTTTTTATCTTTTCATGAGAAGTGAATTTGACGGCCGATACTTAGAGGTATAGCAAACTAATCCGTTCAGTCGACAGGCACTACTGTTTTAAAATATTAATCAATAATATTCTTGGAAGCAACGGTTTATAGACATACTATTTCCCCTCTTGCAATCATCATTCAACACACTCGAAATGGTTTCTAGAGAAGTGAGTGTTAGAAGTATAGAAAGTCTTTTATTTTTAATAATTCTTACGTAGCAAGCTAAACTATAATAAAACCATACGAATGTCTATTGTTTATTTATGCATTGAAAAACTTCCGTATAAATTCATCAGTGTTACAATCGTCGCGATTTTCGAATGGGTTGTCGAAAAATTTCAATTTCTTTGTTGTTCCATCAATCTGGCAAACTATCCAAAAGTTCGCATCTGGTTGATCAGCATAGGGAACTCGAACAACTGTAAAGGGATAATCCGAGCCTGTAGTTTCGTTCGTACTAATAGTAACAGTAGCATCTGATCTTGCAAGTTCTCCATCTTTGCTGTATCTATGAACGGCATAGACATATTTCATGTTTGGTTCAAGTTTCACTTTGATAGTTTCAGGTCCACCGCTCTCTCTACAGTCATAATCGAGAGACACGTTTGGTTCCTGTTTGCGCGAGAAAAATACATGTCGTCCATCCGAAACATACATATGAGAATCGAGATCACTCGGTTGTTTTCCCCATGTCAACAGGAATTCAACTTCATCACTTTGCATTTGCCGATAGATATAATAAGTAACTGATTCTGCTCCTCTGTTTTGAAACACAATTCGTTGAAATTTTACAGTTTTATATTGAGCTTTATGTGTATTTATCATGACATCGTAACAGTTATCCGACAAATTTCGAGGTAAATTCACAATACCAGCTTTATCACTCGTACCAGTAAAAATAACTTGACCTTTCAATAGAAATTCAACTGTGGCGTCAGCAATGATGTTGTTAATGGAATCGCGAATGATATACTGTTTTGGCATGCAAATTTCACCTTTAGGTTCAATATGAATTGCCCATGTGCCAATAACAGTTTTTGAATTCGGATAAAAGATCGTCACTTGATATTGTCCATAGTTGTAAAAATTAAATTGATCACTAATGCTTGCCCCAACGATGATTCTCTCGTTTGATGTGTAATAAACAGCTGAGAACAATACACCACTACATCCTTTAGGACCAATGAATGCTGTTGGAAGCGAAATTGTGGCTCCCATAATCTTTACACTTTCTGCCCATTGCAAGACAGACGATGCTTTTGAATCAATCGCAGAAAAATCAGCAGTTGACGAGTTCGACCATATTAGAGCGATTTCACGTGTTTTTGTAATCGTGACGGTGGATACACCTTCAATAATTCAAGTACAGATGAGATAACAAAAATGACTAGAACGGTTTTGATTGTTAAAGTCCATAGATAGCAGACTGATCTCATGTTAATTTTATTTCGAATACTCATCTTTTCTGAGAAGATTCTCAGATAAACTCGCTCTACTTCCCTAAGTAAAATAGTAAATAAAAGATCCCATGTTTTTATTTCGGAAGATTTAAATATTACTAGTCATTTTTATACTCTAGATATCATTAACATCCTGTGGGAACGTCGTAAAATAGAAATGCTATATGTAATTCATTATTCAACTAGCGAAATGTACCGTTGAAATTCAAAAGTCGATGTAATATTCAGTGAAAATAGTTTTACTCTGTTTTGAAAATCCCGTTTTAAGCATCATTATGAAGTTCGTGAACCCGTAACAAACTTACGTTGATGATCGGCTTTTTTTACATTATTCTGATGTCTTTATGGTAAGAAAAGTTAGCGATGTTAATGCATCGATCATCACGATGGATACATGTTTATGAAAAACTTGTATAAGTGAATTCTAGGCTGAAAGTTGGTCTATAAATCGGTCTAGTAACCATACAAATACTATGAAAGTTCATAACTTATTACCTTCTAACAATCGTCGATATGTATTTATTTCGAATTGAAGTGAAACATTATTTTCATGTATACTTCCAATTGCTGCTTTGCGCTCATTGAATTCAGCTAATAGTATGACAAATTCTTGTTCTAATGACATTTGTGATTGACGTCGACGGAGTTGTATCCTTTCAAATTCTTCTTCGAGTTCTCGCATATGATTAATCAAAGTCGAATTTTCTGATTGCAATGGTGCATAAGAATTTCGGCTTTCGTCTAATGCCGATCTGATTGCCTTGATATCCATTGTTCCCACATCCTTTGAACGGCTTTCTTCTGCCTTTTTAAGTTGTTGCTCGGCTATCTCTTTTCGAATATCTTCAATTTTGACCTCGTAGTATACTGAAAACAAAATATAACTGAAACCGAGGATCAGAATTGAACTTTGGATCTTCCATTTATCGAAAATATTTGACTATCCATTATCGAGATAGAATGTGCTTTTTTGCGCTCTGTACGTTTTTGGTAGTGATCTTTCATAAATGTTAATTTCTTTTCGAGCAAATCGGTTCCTATTCACAAGACTTTGTAGAAATATTTTTCAACATCTTCAGATGTTGACACGATTACCTTGTCACAAAAGCCTTAGAATTATAAGCGAAAAGATCGTTTACGAGCCTAATATAAATGTTGATCAATCCATGTTAAAGCTGTCTATTAGGATATGAAATCTCATAGACACTTTTCACAAGAATTAATCAAAACGTACAATTATATAAAGAATTGATTGCGAAATATTTGCAAGGTTAATCACATAGACAGAAGTTTGAACCGATGATAATTAGATGTCATTATTGTAAATAGAGTCATCTGATTCAAGTTGAGAGAGTAAGAAGAGAACTATCCAAATTATTTCTTGAATTATAGATCTTAAGTTCCTCTATCTAAGAGACATGTCAAAATCAAAAAATTCATCAGGAATGACAGACTATTTTCAAACACTTTTTTTTTGTATGTTTTATTGAAGTCATCGATTTCAAAATGAGTTCGTTTTAAATATATTGTCAGAGAAATATACGTCCTCATATGTTCTCTTTTGACTGCTGAAAAACACAGATCGCTAGCTGCTGGTGTTCTCAACTTATTCATTTTTAACTGAGTATACTTTTAAGTCTCACGTCAACATTAGTAGACTGAGCCGTGTGTTTATTGACGGGATTAACAGAAATGATTAGAATTGAAGCATTAATTGTTTGCATTCCAGCTAATTAGAATGTTGCTCATATTTCTTCTTACCTTCCCATTCTTGATATCGTGCACGTGCAAGTGTTTCAAAATCTTTCTTAATATCAGCAATTGCTCGGTGAAGTTCATCTCGGTAGAATTGACCAACATCAATTTGGAATGTGCCGAGTAAAGCAAATTCATTGCATTCTTCTTCATAAATAGCTTTCATAAAAACCAATTCTTCTCGAAATGTTTGCAATTCAATCTCGAGCATAATACGGCGCATTAATTCATCATCACATTCCTTTTGCAAAGCTTGCAAATAGTTTAATTGTTGTTGCATTTCACTTTTGCTTTGTTCAATTTCTTGCTTCTTATTATCAACTTGATTGTACAATGCATTTAGTTCTACTTTACTTCGTCCAAGTTCTTTTTCACAAAGCGAAGCACGTTGTTTATCAACAACAAAAAATGTGTTTAGAAAAGAAATTTGATGTCCAGTCGATAATTTATCATGTTCAGCTCGTATGGTTTGTATTTGAGCTAATTGCATGTCGTATGTAGTTGTATCCAGTTGCTTTCGAAGCGAATTCAAATCATTGTTATATGCCTCTCTAATCTTGACAGAACCAAAACCTAGAAACGAATTAGAATAAATATTGGTTGATTTTCTTCAATGTAAAAAAAGCCTTTTCGAAGAATTTACCCCAATTCTGTCTCATAGTATCAAGTTGAATACGTAATTGACGATTTTTGTCTTCGAGACTTTTAACTCGTTTGATATACATGTCAAAGCTTTCGTTGAGATGTTGCAATTCACGTTTCTCATCGTCGTGTTGTTGAAATATTTTTCGAATCGTAGAAACATGAGTATCACCAGTGGCCATATTGTTGTTTTTCTTATCTTTAATAAAGATAAAAAAAGATAATTCTGTTCAATTGACATCCCATTCTTCAAAGAAACTTTGCCAGGATGTAGTCCTAAGAGCAATATAAATATGAACAACATCTCAACTTTCAAAATAGTTTCCTTGCTGAGATGTTCATACTGCAATAGAGGTTCTATAGAGTGAACAATGAGGATTATTATATCAGGACTCATGAATTGTATGTTAAAAGATCCTGAGTCTTCCATCTTGTTGAAGCATACAACATTTAAAAAATAATCAATCAGTACACAGAAATGTTCTGAGGAAAGAGCTGAGTTTTTTGGAAAGGAGGCAGACGAGGAAATTCTCCAACTAAATAATCGTTTTTGGGTTAAGACTATGTGCATCATGTAGACTCGAATGAGCTATGAATACTCTGAAAAGATTTCGGATGCTTAGTTTATTGCTGTCGACATGTCGTATTTTTGAATGATTTTTAAACAAAATATTGTGGTCCCCTCAGAAACACTAGAAAAAATAATTTTCAGAGTATTCATTACTCATTAGAGCCTACATGATACATGTAATCTTGATTCCAAGACGATTAATTAGTTGGAAGACTTCCCTCATAGGCGATCAAAGATCATAAATTTTCTTTTCTTATCCTCTATGAAGAATTTTTCGTGAGTGAAAGCTCGAGTCATTTAGTCCCTGTCTCATATATGACTGTTTGTCAGCAAGTTGTAGTTAAGTCAGTACCAAATCTGATTACATTATTTCAATGACTCCATGTTTTAGACATTAGAATGCTTACGGAGTCTACGATCCTTTTATTTCTCTCTAATTGCCAGTTCTGTCCGCTCTATCTGGAACTAGTGTGCGATTTTATCAAATTTAGAAAATAATCTACAATTCAGTGGAATTTGTTCGACATTTCGAAAACAGAAAATTTCGATCATATTCCATCGAGTCTCGGACTCAGTCGTGCTCAATGTAAGGATGCACCAATTTCAGTAACTGGGTGACTCAGTTAAACTGACACTTATTAGCTGGTTGGGTAGTATTTGATTATTTTTCCAACTTAGTTTAATTACATCAGTTTAATACTATAAAAATACTAGTGATTATCGATGAATTTTTAGCCGCTTACTGATTTCATACTAATACATACCTAAATGGCTACTAGTTATCATACAGAATATATGCTTCTCTTCATAGGGGTCGAAAGTTACCGTTCCAGATAACCAGTAAAAGAAGTAACAGAAAATTCGTGTACTCGATTTTTTTACTAAAGAAAGTTTTGTTTTGGAAAATTAACGGTATTTTATAAAGTTTGAGTAAAAAATATCGGGATCAAAGAATCCAAATCTCTAATTGGTTTTTCAAAATGATATACTTAATGTCTCGGTCAAGTTACTTCTATTCCGACAACCTTTAATCAAACTTCATAAAATATCATTAGTTTCCCAAGAGGCTTTTCTTTATTGAAAAAATCAACTACATATATTTTTCGTTATTCCATTACCCGTTACTTGGTAACGATAAATTCCCACTCTATGGGATAACCAGACAAATCGTTGCACATGTGTGGATCTGGGTGTCTAGATGTAGGCGCATGGGCTAGAGTATCGATCAAAGTACACAAAAGATCCGCACCCACACCCTAACTGAGTGACCAGTTAACTGTGTCACTGAGTTACTGAAACTGGTGCATCCATAGATTGAACCTGAACTCAGCACAAGCCTAATAGATAAAGTCAATAGAATCCACCCTAAAATATTTTTTTGATTCTAGAGTTTTCTAGCATCGAAAATACATTATTTTGAGTGGATAGTAATTGGATTCAGTAACATTTAGTTATAGTTAAGATAACTGACTAGTTCTTTCCTCAGTTTTGTATTTTGTGCGTTTAACTTAAAGGAAAGCAGTATACTCGTACCCTTACTTACTCATGACCACTCCAAAGTATTCCAGTATGATGTTCTCCTTGCTTTAACTGATTGTGGCGAAGTAAATAAAATACAAATTTCAAGAGTAGCTATCATTATGTTTAGATTTCCAAATGTAGATCATTATGAACAATTATGCCGGAAGTCTAAACATTAGTCATGTGAAACAACTAGTTTTATTGATTTCGATCTACTGGGAATGATCTTCCAATAAAAATATCACAATACATATCTAAGGATTTTTTTAAGCTCTTTTTTCGATTGATGTGACTTTTAATGAATTATTACTTTATGCTTTTGTATTTATTATGTAACAGAGCTGTCTGATAAACATTTTTTCTACACTTTTGTTTCGATATTTCTATAGGACAATATCGGTTTCTTATACTGCTATTTTTAATAAATAAAAAGTTGAAAAACATCACCAAATTCAAAATCATAGGAGATTTAGACTTAATGCACTCTAAACTCAAATTAACAGCGATCCAAAAATCAAAAAACGAAAACTTTTTCCAAATACAAGATCCAGGTCTTCTATTATGAGAAAAGTGGGAGAGAAGCTTTACGCAATCGCTTAATGATTCGCTGTCTCCCTCGTGACCAACCTTCAACCATCCTACCAAAACCGAGTAGAAAAAGGCAGAATTTTTCCATGAAACAACTAATGACAGCATGCTATCATCGAAGTATACTTACAAAAAAACAGTGAAGTCAAAAATAAAGGCTGAATTATGCTTTTTTATTCCTCTTTATATAGATTTTGTTCTGCAAGTTGTCAGTCTTCTGTTATCGGAAACATTCACTCATTTTTCTCTTTTTACACCAATAATTGCTCTGGCTTACAAATATTGGATTTCTACTCGAAAGAAGAATAAATATCATATAACGATGGGTACAAAAACATAATTTAACCTTCAATTTCGACTTCTCTGCTCTTTCATATATATATATACTTTTATGACAACATGTTTTCAGTCTTTATTCTGTGCAAACATTCTTTTTTCTGTTTTTTGCCTGAATGATTGTTCTCTCTGACAAGTATAGGATTTCTAATAAAGACAAGGGTAGAAATCATATTACAGAGGAACAGAAAAATATAATTTAATCTTTATTTTTGATCTCTCTGTTCTTCTGCAAATATACTCTGATGATACCATGTTACCAATCATTCTTTATAGGAACATAATTTTGCCTGTTTTTCTCTCTTGGTGATTGTTCTCTCTTACAAATATTGGATTTCTATACAAGAGAAGAACAAATACTCATATCAAGATGGGCGAAACAGCATTGTTCAACCTTGAATATCGACTTCTCTATTCTTCTCTTCGTATAGTCTAATGACAGTGTGTTGCCAGTATTCATTTTATGAGGACAAAAACCATAAAAATTTACTGTGCTGTGTTTCACGTTCTAATCTTACTGAAATTGTGCTGAAAAAATTTGAATTCGGTTTTTTAATTCTGAGCGCTGTTTTTTTATGGTTTCTTCTGTTTTAAAACAGTCGTGCATCGTGTGGTTTGTGGTCGAGTGAGCTTTCTGCTAGTAACGTAATAAGGAAATCTTTACAGAGAGGTAGACTAGCAAAAGAAAAATTTTACAAAAGAGATAATATCGGCTTTGGTTGGTAAGAGATGTTTACAAGATGGGAGGAACTTTTTACAGGAGAGAGAAATTTCGCCTCCGTTACTCTTCGATGGTTACATCACCACTTTCTGTGATAAGTCTATGAATTTCTCAGTAACTAAGAACTGAAATGAGAGTAAGAAAACATATCATGATAGTCCATACGATGTTTTACACTACTTTTTGATGTTTTTGAGAAAACGTTTGATGCCTGATTTTGTTTCGGTGTGATATGATTCTTTTCCTAGATTTTTATCTCACTAATAACTATATGTATACCTAATTTTGATCTTTTCTCTCTCTAAAAAATCTGTACCTCTAGATGAGACTATAATAGTTCATATCAGCTCACATCTATGCAAAAATTGCATTGAAAATATCAAAAAAAGTACTGACGAGGAAAGTATCTGAAGTGTTCCTTCAACTTAGAATTCATATCTTGCCCACAAGTAGATCTTAATGTCAATAGCAAAAGCCTAAAAGGATTTGTTCCCATGAGCTGTCGAAGCCGACTTATGATTATTTCACTGGATTTTCGATTTCAGACAAGGCATTCATGGAAAAATGAAACGATGATATTTAGACCTGAAGTTTTATCCATAAAGAGATCTCATGATTATTAGAATGTCCTCAAAGGTGTGGGTGTAGGTGGAAATCTTCTATTCTCTCACACCCTACTATGTATTCATGCAATAAAATTTCAAACACGATGATCAAAACTTTTAGTCAGTCCCAAGTATACATATATACATAGAAACTCACTCATGATATCTAACTATAACTATTCGCTTTCTTGTCATTTCTTCTGATGTGATCATAACACAAAAAATGCTGATTCTATTTTACTTTAAACAATAAATAGAAAAACGAAAGATTGACATTATCGATAATGTTCGATCGCTTCACATATATCAGCATTGCATATGTCAGCATAAAAGATTTCGATGAAAGTACTAAAAATTTAAAGACCGCATAAGTAATACGCAAATGAACAAAATAGAACTGAAGAGAAAAAAACGAAAAAATATACATTTCAACATGTATATAAACCATTAAATCATTAGAATAAACATCTACGAACTTGAAATATTTTTTGAGAATGACAATGTGACAATATCGATATTATTCTGAACTAGACTACTCGATGTCCTGAATTATTCTATAGCAATGATGACTCATGACATCTTCAAGAACACTCTCGACTGAGATCAGACAGACAAAACTCATAAAAACGCATTTCTTTATTTCAATGTCTCTATCATAAAACTCTCTCATTTTATTTGCTTCTCTTATAGAGAAATGTTATCTTGAGTGTGTTATAAAACTGTCTTACGACTTATTATAAAAAAAGATAGCAAATCACGCGAGTAGTTCAAAATATCGACTAATGCAATATATGCTGTCTACGCCTTTCTTATCAGTCTCAACAATGGCAATCATTTTTTTTTCCAATGGAGAGAATAAAAAAAAACCGCTGCTTCATTCTAATACAGCATGATGTGTGACATAGGAATTTTTACTTTTTATCGTACAACAGATGAAAAGCAGTGAAAGCTGTTTATGATTATTTCTTACAACATTAAAATAGCAACGTAGTGAAATATTTCGCACGTCTTCCATCAAGATACTTGGATTCGTAACGAGAAACGAAGAAAGAAAGAATATCCCTGCCGTTCATCTATCTTGAGGTATGGGGTACTGTCTAGCGGCAAATTCAATAATTGCTTGAGCTCCTCATACACACTAAGTAGATGGATGATCCGATACAAATAGTCGTTAGTGACTTGTTTAGTGCCATTGAATGACTGCTGGCACTGAGATTTGCATGCAATACCTTGTGGAGACGTGTTGAACACTGTAGACACTACTACATGAAGAAAAAAAGCTATGGAATAATTTGTGATAAAATACAAGTTAAGCGCAATAGTTGCTTTCTGCAGCTGTTTTTAACTAATATCATATCGATGTCTCACTATTCTTTGTAGCATTGTTTTTAATTTCAGTTTCTTTGAAAGACTTGATTGATGAACTCTTTACGACAATTTACAAGTTTGAATTATCACTCCTTGATTCCTAACAATAATTACTGATTAAAATGGATCATGAAAATAAAATTTGTTAGTATCAGAGTGAAACTAAAAAAGATTAAAAAAAAAATATATAATTTTATACAAGTCTATTCTTGTTCTAATTAACATCTATAATTTTAGTATGACGTGGGTTAATTTGAGATGCATTCAATTTAGTCAATTGTTGTCCATTCATATCGAAATTCTCTGGATTTAACCATCTTTGTAATTCTTCTTTTATTTGTGGCCATTCATCATCGACAATACTATACCATGAATTATCTCTTGATCGACCTTTAGAAACTGCTGCTTTCAACCATGTACCTTCATATTGAAAACCTAATCGAATTGCTGTATGTCTTGACTTCGTATTTAAAGCATTACATCTCCATTCTACTCTCCTATAACCAAGTGTATCAAATGCAAATTGTATTGACTGAAATTTACACTTCCAATTCCAATTGTACCTTGATCTTGATTTATTCTCAAATAACTAATGAATCCTACTGCTATGTCATTGACGAATATAGTGTATAATACGGTACCACTACTGAGTTTTTCTTTCATATATACAAATTGTTTAAATTCATCGATTGTTTTAAATGGACCGTAGTTTAATATTTAAAATGAATTTCTTCGTTTGCTTTAAATACATCATAAAGTTGTTGAATGATAGTATCATCTGTTTTTAAATTGAGTAATTCAAGTCGACAATATTGACCTTGAAGTGTATGATATATTGTGGATTTGAAAGAGGATGAGAACGTCGAGTCTAATTCAACACAATATTACCGATCGATTGATCCATATCAGCGGAAACAGTTATGTCTCCAACAGTTATTTGTTGTGTCATGTTGAACACAGTGCGAAAAACAAATGAAAATGAATTTTGAGTGAGTACTGATATGATCGAGATAAGCTACATATACTATGACGTATATACACTTTTTCATCATTGCATTCTTAGAGAGAGGACGTTATATAATAGTAATTGCCTGGATATGCCTTATATATTATATTCACATTCAAAGAAAGAAAAAAAAAATACGCAGAAAGTTTTTGATCATTTTGATTTCAGTATGATACGATGGAAATTATACCACGAATCATTATATATAAAAGATCAAATATATATATGGCGTTGTACTAAGTCTTCTGTCAAAATTTATCACGAATTGAATCAAGTTAGACTTATTTATATTCAAATGAAAAACATAATGAACAATGTCATTTTTTTTTATTGCTGCGAAAAATAAAAAAAATTGATAATATTTTAGCGGAAAAGGAAATTTAAAAAAAAGATATCTGTCTGGAATTTATTGCAAAGACTACTATTGAAACATTCGATATATATTCATTTTTTATCTATTATGAGATTTGAATGATTCATTGACATAGCTAGTGTGCAAACTATTAATCTAGAAATACTTTAAGAACACTTTCTTTTGTATGTCGAAAATGAAACGACTTTTCTTTTTTTTAAATATTTTACTAAATACCACTGTTTCACATCTCAAATGGCAATTGTCCTTTATAAAATTTAAAAAACCTTGAGTTTAGTGGAAAAAAAAAGAAATGTCCTATTTCTCAGCTCTAGAGATCATGGTACTGTGCAGAGTCTGAATACTGCCTTTATTGAATATATTGTAGTGTTTAATTCATTTATCTACTTTTCTATCGTTATCATACATAAATAACGTGTATTTTTATGAAAAACAAATTCTGAATACTATCCCTATCTTTTTTTTATTTTATTTTTGTTTGTTGTCTTTCTGAAATTCAATAAATGATATCCTTTAAAAAAAAAACTAAGCTGATACGATTTTTCAGAATATTGATTTTAGCTATAGTCTGTCATATGAATCCTTTACTAAGAGTGAGCGATACGTGGCTATATGTACCATTAATGAACAAACAACTGGATTCGTACTATATCATTACTATTTGTTGATAGTAAACGAAAGATTAAAAAAACAAGGATTTTTAATCAGAAAATTTGTATGTATTCATTGATTATTGTTGTATGTTATTACTGATTCACCGATGATAATTTGCAAATCGATTCTGGATATATTATTATTATTTATCAATTTTCAAATAAATTATTCTTATGGTCGTGCTCAACTAGAAATTATGTTTTTTTTTGTACTGTTTATGGGACGATGCAGTTCTATGTACAAAGTTTCAATCCTATGATCTATAGTTAACATGAATTCATATATCAACTATGTTTATAAAATATTATTATAATTTTTTTTTTATATATAATCGTGACAATATCGTTTAGAAACTTCATTTTTACCAAAATCGAGAATGCAAGATGTATATATATTATTGATAAATTTCGTGAATATATTTGAACAGAGCACTAAGTAATTTAAGCATGAAAGGGATAATACAGCAATACACTCTAAAAAATACTTAGATGCTCAGATCCAATAGATATTGATACGTTTTGTTTGTTATAGTAATTGAACATGCGAACAGCCAACTATAAACACAACGAATGTTAATATTTTCAAAATATATGTCATAAAAAATATTTTTAAATAATACTTTTTAGACAATCAGTAAACACGATGGTTATAGATAATTACTTTTGTTCATTTATTTTTTCCCTAAAATGATTCGATTTTCTTGAAGTACATATTTACGTAATATTGTATTTTTTATAGATGCTCTTTGTGCACCCCCATCTATTTCTGACTCTATTCCACTATTATCACAATTGATACATGATGATTTTATAATTAAAATATAAAGTTATCAAGAAGAGGTAAGAAAGACTCGTCCTCCAATTTATTTTTTTTTACTATAAAATTCTTTTTCATTCTATATTTTTCAATCTTAGTACTGTTCGTACCTTACAACTGCGATAATATTTTCAAATATTATTGAAATCTAAGATTAAATAAGTAGACGATGGCTATTTTTAATCGTGTTATTGTTTAATATTTCTGCAAACAGCAACAATATGTGAATTATTGTTTTACCTTTTATTTGTTGTTATATGTTTTTATATTAGATTAACGAGATTCATTTAATAGCAATTTGAATTCTTTGCCAGGATACTAGCAATCACAAAGTATTTTGAAGGTTAGTGATTTTATATCTTTATAAAAAACTAAATCTTATTATTATTCATCACAATCTGTTCATTCAACGTGTAATGATTGAGATGTTAATGATATAATTAAAACTTAAAGTATCCCAAGAAATTGGAAATATTCCTTTTTTTGTGTAGTTCATTTTAAAAAATTTTACAGTTTTTGAAAATAAAAAAAAAATATATATATATATATATTTTGTCACGTGTTTCAATTGTGTATTTGAAATAAAGGGAATACGGTCAATATAAGTTTATTGACTTGAAAGAAGAGAAGCAGAAAAGAATGTAAGGTAGATGAAAGGAAACAGAACAAGAGTAACTGATTCTTCAAAGAGAAAACATGTGTATATATAGATATGTATCGTGATGACTTATACGACAAAGTCAAAGAGCAAAAAAAATATAACAATACAAATATTGTTACTATATAGTATATTTTATTTCAGTTTTTCACTTTGTCTCATTATGTTATTTGTTTGTTCTAGATTATATTAATATTACGAACATCTATGCGCCGCTAACTTTTTAAACAATTTCGATATTTCAGCTGATCTACGGACTACTAATTCTAAGAAATGATTACATTTCGATATGAATAGTATATATTAAGAAAATATTCTTTTTAATAAAATAATTTTATATTTTTGTTCTTTCATCAATTTTTAAATTTTTTTTGAAAACATGTTAATTTGAATTTGAAAAGAAAATATAAAATTATTTTATCAAAAATATTTTCTTAATAGTCACTATTCATATCGAAATGCAATCATTTTTAGAATTAGTAGCTCGTAGATCAGCTGAAGCGTGCATCTGAGAAAGATAGATGCAAGACGCTTCTCTCATTGGTATAAATCATTCAACCAGTAGCAAGTAAGATACTCAAGTATCTAAAATCAGCCATCCGTTGATAATTGAAATGTCTAAATTAAAGATATATCAATCATCAGAAATAACTCAAAATATCTTGTACAAGCGGACAAACCGTCTTGTCTATACACATCATAAGTCTTGATTTTTTTAGAGCGTAAAAATTGTTTCGTTTTGTAAGCACATGAAATTTATTTCTAATGTTTTTGGTAGAACGAAAAAAAATCGATAGGTATATCGTTGTTTTTTTCGGTTTCTCTTCATGCAGCGTCATCACGTGAAGCAAACACAATTCGACTAATAGAATGCTTCAGTCAATAATTTTTGTCGTAGAAAAGAAAAACAAAAAAACACAAAAGGAGAACAGAGCCGGTCGGGATGGTAGGTTTTGTCAATGAAAAAAACCTGAGTATGTTTTATCACCATAATGTGATCTTTTGTTTTTTTTTAGATTAGTTTTAAGCCTGGTATACTTCTTGATGAAACATGAGCGATAGCAATAGTTATTTTATTGTGATTATTATTTGTCTTCAAACACTTTATACTTGTATTCTTTCAATAATAGGACAATATATCTATGGATATTTTCTACGAACTTATTATGATATGTATCAAAATTGGACAATTATTAATAATTCATCTTTGAAAATCGATATATTTGAATTAAATCGAGAACAATGTATAGAAAATACAACAGATATTTCAAATAGTTCTGCTCAAACATGGGCACAACAACAATCAGCTGATTTAATATTTCAAGCAACTCTATGGAGAGCATTTCCAATTATTATCATTACGTATTTATTCGGTCTCTATGCTTCACAATTAAATCGACGATTAGTATTAATATTATCTATAATAGGAAATGCTATTCATGTGATTATTTATCAAGCAATCATCTATAAAAATTTAGCTGAATATTGGTGGTATATATCGGCTTTTATTGTTGGTTTGTCAGGTGGTCCTAATATTCTAGGTTATTATTGATATTCTTCGATTAATTTGATTGTTTTCTTTCTTCGATTTAGGTATTGTAATGAATTTAGTAATCACAGAGAGTACCGAAGAAAATGAAAGATCATCACGTTTTGTACGTTACGGTGCTATGGCAACGGCTTTAGCAGCAATAGCAACATTTGGTATTGGTTATTATATTCAATGGCGTGGTTATACAGATTTATTATGGATAAGCCTTGGATTGGAACTATTATCAATTTTTACCGTTATTTTCTTTTTAAAACCAACACATTATTCAACGTCAATTGATGAAACTACAGCTCTACTATCATCATCATCATCATCAAACGATGTACATGTTACGATAAACACATCTACCATATCTAAATTTTACCATTGTTTTGATATTTGTACAGTATTTAGTTTTAGACATTGTTCGAAAAAGAAATCAATTAGTCTTATTTTAATCATTATTTCCTATATGTTCTATTTATTGGCATTATCATCATTGTCTACAATGCTTTGGTATCTTCTTGGTACTCCATTCTGTTGGACATCGAAAGATCTTGGCCAATTTTCTGCAGTAGCATTGATTGCTACGGCTATTTTTAGTGTACTAGGCATGAAAATATTGAATTATATTGGAGCAAATGATGCTATAATATGTATTCTTAGTCATATTTGTTTCGGTGTTTATTTATTATGGATTTCATTAGCTCAATATGGTTGGCAATTATATCTAGCATTATTAATTAATCCATTTTCGAGTTATCAAAATATATTGACAATACCAATGATATCTAAATGGTTAGAAGTTCATGAACGCAATAATGTTTTTACATTAGTAACAGAAATAAATACAATTATTACGGCTTTCGGAGGTTCATTATCCAATTGGATCTATTCTCGAACAGTAATTTATCAAAAAAATTTTACATTATTATTGGCTAGTGGAATTTGTATTATACCTTGTATTCTCAATATGTAAGTATTTATTCTTTTGTAAAAAAAACAATATTTATTGGTTTATTGCATGAATAGATGTCTTTTCATGATTAGTCGACGAATTTCCAATGAACAAGAATTGACTCGTATATCAGAAATAAATACAGAACCAACAACTTTGCTACTATCAAATAATCTATCTCCGCAAGCTGTTGATGTAACTTGTTTAATTCAACTACCTCATTCGCGTACTCATTCTCTCTGTATATCATATAATGATCGATCTCGTACTAATTCTAACTCTTCATTAAATAATCAAAGTGATTGGCAAGTGACCATATAATTTGTTCTATTCTTCTACGCAGCTATTCGTCAAAATTCATAATAAACAAATTCATTGTTAAACTGCAAAAAAAGAAAACTTTTTTTTTGTATAAAAAGAATATTCATGGTGTCGATATGTAATATCGATACATTTTAATGCTATAATGATATTCAAGCATAAATCTTAAGATTGCATTGTTAACAAATACAATATATTAACATAATTGTTTCTTATGTTGTAATAATAGTAATTATGAACGATCTTTTTCCACAATGAATGATACATCTATAGAAATAGTACGTTATTAAGGGTGTAGGTGCATCGAATGAACAATATACTCACGCTCACATCCACACCCGTATCCCTATGGGCGCCTACAGATGAGAAATCTTAGCGAATTTTGTTTTTTTTTCATAAGAAAATGTCTCGACGCTGGATCTAAAGTTTGTACTTTCTGTCGCAATTATCTTGCCAATGACCTGAGGTCTGATGACCATCCCAACGCGAACACAAACTTCTTGATGGTGAAATACTCCAGATGTTTCTTTTATTTGTCTTCCGTGAGTATCCCAAAACAACAAAGCCTTGCCGACTTTCTGGTTTCTTTTGTGCTTGATCGGTGACTAGGTATAGAAACCAATACGATTATTTCTCTTCGATGAATAAATAAATTCGTTCAAAAACTCCTACTGCGTTTGATATATATATTTTTTCTACAATTTGTAGACAAGCTATGAATATTAACTACGTGGAAATGTCATCAAAATTGCAGTTGAAAAGATGAGGCTTTGCAACATAGCCATAGATCAACGAAACTTTTTATCGCAATACATAGATAAATAGAGCGTCAAAAACTGAATAAAATACATTATTCGGGTATCTTATATTATGTGTCGGTGCGGTTTTATAGACTCAGCACTGTCCAGCACCAGCCATTTTTTAGAACAAAAACGATCAATTTTTGCAACGCGTCGATTACTTTGTAGTCACATTTAGGCATGCACCAAACCCGCTCTCAAATCCAAGCCGTTTGGAAGTTTTTGTTTGGATATTCAGTGTGAGTTTCAGTGTGCTACATCAACTCACTGAACCACTGGAAGGTATGGACAGGTGAAGGTGGACGTCGGTGGATATAAATCAAAAGTAGACCACACCCACACCCTCTCATGGCGCTATTCTCAATAGCTTTTGTTGTTTTCGCTATGAGAAATTATTACTTACATTTATATGGAAGTAATTGGCATAGGAATAGAAAGAACAAATTTTGTTGTTTCTGAGTATTGTGTATGTTGAGAGGATACAAAGACAGCCTATTGTCATATGCAAAATAAATATGGGTGTTTATCTCGTCGAAACTATGCATGATAGTGGACAACGTATGAGCGTAAAGACAATTTATTTGCAAAAAGAATAATTTTTATACGGAATCAACAAGAGAACTAATCCAACTGTAACCCACCATTTGAGTTCATCTTGGACTCATAAAGAAATCTCGGTAAGACTAGGAAATATCTAAAGAGGACTCGTACTCATGAGCCGTTGGAACCCAAACCCTCATCCGATGATTTGATTTATTATAGTTTTGTGATAGTGTCTGAGGTATATATTTGTAGATTGCTACACTAATTAATAAAACATTTGCCTATTCCTGTACTTTATAGTGAATATTCAACATTTTCGACCCTCCTACATTTCGACATTCTGCATATTCAATATTTTCGATTTCCAAGATTCTAACTCTCGGTGTTTTGCAACTTTACCACTTTATCATCACTTCAACTTACAATGAATAATTCAGTTTGATAATATTATTTGTGATGACAAAGAAATCATAGTGATAAAAAAAAAAAAAACTTTTTTTTGTCAGATAGTGCTGATATACAGCCACGAACAAAGTTTATAAACTTTTCTTAATTTTACTTTATTTTCTGACTTGAATGTAATACATTTAAAACAAATTTTCTAGATTGCACAATATTAAAAAAAAATAAGACAAATAGTTTGTATGGCAGCGATGGTATTTAATTCTTATAATTACGTGGATTAAGAGCATCAAGTACTTGATCGAGATCACCTTTTTTTGATTTAATAAGTTCAGTTAGTACACCATTTGAATCCACAAAACCCATCGATATCATTCGTTCAATACATTCATTAATCTTCTTCTGTTCTTTAACTTGTTGATCTTCAGCTGAATCAGTTGTTGTTGTTTGTGATTGAAACATCGGAGCAAACATAGTTTGAAGTTGTTCAAGTAAATTATCCAATGGTGGAAGATTAGTCGAAGCTGAAGTCGAAGCTGCTGTTGCTGAAGGAGCAGTTGGTTTTGGTTCTGTACTAGTATTATTATTTGTTGTTGTTTCTTCTTTTTTTTCTTTAGATTTAACTTCTTCCGTTTGCTTGTCAACAGAATAATCACAATTAATACCAAAAGATGAAAGAAATTCATGAAGAATTTTACCAACGTTTTCAAGAAGAATTGTTTCATCAATAGGTTTATCAGCTTGTTCACCTGTTTTAAATTGATTAAGCATTTCATTTATTTTTTCCGTACGTAAATATTCAGGTATATGAACTTCAATCAATTCAGCTAATTCTTTACACTTGAATTGATTAAGAAAATTATTTATATCGAATGGAACATGAAAGGTAGCAGGTGCACATTGTTGTCGCATAAAATGATGCCAAAAGCGAGAATTACCACCGAAAGATTCTCTACGTCCACCACACCGATGATGTCCACCGAATAAACGTTGAGAAGGTCGAGTTAATTTTAACATATTATGTTCAGAATGAAGATTTTTATCTGAACATATTTGACAAAGATCATAATCTCGACATTCTAAACATCTAAAAACAAAATGATCACATAAAAACTAAAGAAAAATATTTCAACTATGAAAACTTACTTATAACGATTACCAATCACAGGACCTTGACAACCATCACAAATAACACCAACATGAATTGTTGTATTTTGATTTGATTCTTTACTTTTGTTCAATTTTGGTTTAACAAAAATTTTGATGACACCACCAGCAGAAATGTTATTTAAAGCCGATAGTAATTCACTATTAGATGAAAATGTAATACGATCATTATCTTCATCTATATATTGTAAAGTAAATTGACAGATAATCAGTATTTAATTTAGAAATAGTTGTTTCTAATGTTTGATAGTTATCATTGTCCGATGAAATATCGATCTATATATCAGAAAAAGAAAATGCAAGAAAAATCAACCTATAAATAAGAGAAAACTCACTGTAAATCGACGAATTTCAGGTTGTTTTTCAATAAGATCATTGTAATAAGCTTTTACAATAATTTGTTGTTGTTGTTTTTGTGTAGACAACATGATGCTTGGTTTGCTTTATTTGTAATATTGAATTGAATGATTACTACACTACTATTTTATTCTCCTTTTATACTATCAACATTGACCTCGATGAGTAATCATAGAAGAAAAGGAAAGAAAAAGAATATTACATAAGTCGAAGAGAAACACGTTGACGTGTCGCACGCATTAGTATTAAAAGAACACAATCGTGATGCATCGAGAAAGCTCTCCATGTAGTTATTCATTAAAAAGTGTCTGTAATGCTGACAATGCATTTTCAATATTTTCCAAAGACATCGATAACATAAGAGCAATGAGAGTATATACATTAATAAATCTTACTTTTTTGTTATGTCATTTTTAAAGAAGAATCTAGTATTTTCTTGTATGGGAAATTTAATGATTAATAAAAAAAAATCAGAGAAACTTGATTAGTAATGCTCAAAGTTTATTATGTAATTTTTTTTTGTTTTATTGTTCATGATACTCATTTAGTTTTTAAATAAACATTAAAAACAATATCGGAGGGAAAATGTTTTCTTATATACAACAATTACTGGTACATAAAATACGAGGATCGATAACTGTTGAGGGCAATCTGAAAGAAAGATCGAATGAATAGTTTATAGAAAATATATTCGAATTTCATGAATTATTGAAACAATTTTATGCATATATCATCAATGCTAATTTATTAAATTAATTTTTTGAAAGAATCAAAAGATGATGGATTAAATCAATTTTCATATCAAGTGTCTTTTTTACTTGAAATAATAGAGATGAAGCACATATGATAAACACTTTATTAGAACGATGAAAGATAGAAACTTGCAGCCTCTGTTATGGCCTTGCTTCTCAATGAGACTTTAACAATAGGAATGAGTGATTTCGGATTAGAATCAGAACCAATGATTCCATATTATATAGAGAACACGAAGACCAACGATTTCGATACAATGCTGGACATAAAAGACTTGACTTTAACGTGTATATAATTGCCTTTTCAGATATCTTATCCTCCAAAATGACTCGTTTTTCAAAAAAAAATAGGTCATGATAAGTAAATCTTCAACTTTGTGCATATAAAATAGCAGTGTAAGTGTGAAAAAGTCAAATTAACGATAGATTCAATTTTTATGTCATTCAAGATGAAAGAGTCATTTTAGACCCATTCTGGATCTTCACAACGAAATGGCTTGGCCCAAATTAAACTCCATCATTATCATAATTAGCATCTGCAGAAACTATTTCCATGATTGTCTCGACACCAAAATCTATTGGATGAGTGCTTGAGATAAATGATTCTGCAAGAGTTAGCATTACAATATTTCATTTTCAAGTCGTGTTGTATATTCAGGAAATCAAGAACATGATAGATTTTGAAAATAATAAATGTCTTCATCTTGTGTAGAGATGAACATGGAAATATAACATTACTGTGACAGGGTGTGGGTGGGTGGGGTGTGGCTGTGGCTGTGGGTGGGTGTGGATGTAGATGTGACTCTTATCCTAAAACATATGCACACCCACACCACCCACACTCACAACCCAAACCCTCTCCCCACATCTCCATCTCCCACCCACACCCTCAATATCCAAATTACGACACTACCAACAGCATTATAAACCTTCACTTCATGTTTTTCTCTTATTTTTTTTACATATTTTCTCCCTAATAAATAGATCCAATAAACTCCATGTCTCGATCATTTGCATAGATACTAAGTCATAACTATCTGAAGAGATCCTTTAGCAAGGTCGAAACGCGTCATGGTTGCTAGATTCATCCTCACCCTCACCTGCTCATGTCTAAGCTTGGCATGTCCAGCATCTTCCGTGTTCCCGATATCTTGGATATATGATACTGCTGGAAAACTTGACAAAATATCATCTTGAGATTGTACATGGAAATTTAAACTTTAATTTAAAACCACCGCGACTAAAATCGAAGTGGACATAGTCGAGTTCTGTGCAATGTAAAAGCACAACTTTTGCCGAAAAACCGTCAGATAATTGTGACTTTTGTCATTAGTATTCTTGAAGTGCTATACGACCTTGAAAAGATCTTGTCACTAGCAATTTTCGTCGATGTAATCGCGATATAAACTAAAATGACGATGTGGTAATGATAAACCCATGGTTTTTTAATGTTCTGTATAAGATATGAGATAAGATTTTTTGCACAATCATCGTTCTTCTCCTTTATTTATGTCTCGTATCCTATTACACAACATCTTCGTGCACTTGTGAATAACTAAAGATGAAACTTGTTCTTCCATTTCTAGTAATCGTTGCCGTTCTTGTAAGCGGTGCTGATGGAACGCGTGCTCATGCCGATATGTTTCTCGCAGGAACAAATGATTTTATTGGAACGATTGACTTTTATGAAGATCCAACACCTTGGGGCGTTTTCATTACTGGTTCTGTTAATCGTCTGAGACCTCTAGCAACATTGGTAAGACTATATTTTGAAGAAGAAAGCGCCAATTCAATAACTTTCATTAAAATATAGCGTTTTATCATGAATCTTTATCTTTCCATAGCAACAACAGTGATAGATTTTTATAAAATCACCCTTCTCTTCCCGAAAATATCGATATTAAAAATTGTCCTGTTCGACAGAAAATTGCTAGGTATAGTGATTGTATGATTACTTTTTAGTGGCAACTTTGAAACCAAATATATTTAAAAGTTCTGAAAACTGCCAGCATTACACACTTGTAACATACGAAGATCAATGAACGATGACTCATTACCATTGATTTAGAGCTCCTACAGATACACTGCAGCCAAACTATCGAAAATCTATCGAATACTCTTCAAAATCCTGTGTTCATTGGGCGAATTATGCGTTTTGGCATTTAGAAATTTGAAATTTATCGACACCTTCGAGTGTGAAAGTCTTAAAATCTATGAATGTCTTACATGGGTTTTCGTATTTTTTTCGCAAACCCGTAAGTTTCTATTGGTTTTGAAGTTTTTCAAGGGTTTTTCCACCAAGTTTCTTGATTCATTCCGGTTTAGGCAGAAATAGTCAGTTTTAGAGTATATTGAAATGCTATTTCTAGCAGCAGTATATCTGCTAGATTGCTCTTTAACCAGAAGCCAGCATCCTAAACCAAAAAAATTGAAGCAACAGAAGCTTACTGTTTATAAAAAAACTTTTGCACGTCAGTACAACGGAGTGTTTGAGATAAAAACACACATTCTTCCATCGATTCATCAGCACTATATAATACCGAAATTTGTTCTTCAACAATTCTGATAAAAACTCTCAGTGAAATAAATTTCTTTAGGGTTTTCATATCCATTCTTTGCCGATCGGAGACAATCATAATTGTACAGCTGGTGGTGCTCATTTCAATCCCTACAGTAAGTTTAGCTCTTTATGATAGAGTGATCACCTTCACACTTTATCTGTTATGATAGATGTATCTCATGGGATGCCCAGTGATTCAATTTTGGATCGGCATGTGGGCGATCTAGGCAATATTGAAGTAAATGCTGATGGTAGAGCCACTCTTAATGCTCTTGATTGGATTATTTCGCTTGGATCCAATAAGACAAGAAGTGTTATTGGTTTACCTCTCATGATCCATAATTTAACTGACGACGGGGGTCACTCTGGCCGAGGCGAAAGCAACACGACTGGGTAAGTATTTATATACTGAATTGTTATCTTTCTTTATTGATATTTTCGTCGAATTTGTAGAAATGCTGGTCCTCGCATAGCCTGTGGAACAATACGTCTTGATGGATAGCGTTTTTCCATTGCTGGACCAGTTTATCAAAGCTTTTTTCTAATTTTTTTTATTTCTTTTTTTAATAATCATTGCTTGATTTGAAAGAATAATCTGGATGGTTTTCTACAACATGATACTTTTGGCGAAATAATCAGCGTGCAGTTATTTATGAACATACACTGAATTTCGAATAATAGCTGAAAATGCTCACTAAGATAATACAAAAGTCAGAATGTTTCCCTTTAGAAGAATAATTGCAAGTGTATTATGTATATAGTTCTGAGGTTGAACCATAGAATGCATTATCAACAGGACAAATCGTTTGATTAGAAATGACATCACTTAAGAAAGAAAAGAACAGCATTCATATTCAGTTTTTAAACTGTATTGAGAATGTTGCTAATTTAATTTGTTGTTGAGATGGGTGTGGGTGTGGGTATATTCTTTATTCACACTCACACCCACACCCCGTAATTCACCCGCCACTATCTCGAGATCCAATTCCTTTACGTTTTCTCCATTTAACAATTGGAGAAACATTGGAACAATTCAAAACAAAGTATCCAACTATAAAAATAGGTCGGTCAAAATTTTTTGCATTGTGACCAGTTTGGGTACGAGAGCGGACACCACATGAAAACTGTTTGTGTATACACCACTCGGATGCGGATTTACTTCTACAAGCAAGTAACTCCTCTCCTTAATTATTTCATTTTAATTTTTGAATTTCAGGGTACGTCGAATTCTCTTCAGCGGCTTGTTACAAAAAAAACATTACTGGAAAAAACTGTTTGTAAATCACCTTCCGAAAACTGCCACTATGGTCAATGCTCTGATTGTAAACATCTAAAAGCATCCGATATTCTTACTGAAGGTAT